ATAGCAATCAATCGTCTGAAGCATAATAAAGAAGCCGGTGCCGATAGGTTACAAGCCGAACTATTCAAGACTGGTGGTCAGATGCTGGTAAGGAGCATGCACCAGCTGATTAGTACAATTTGGCTAGAAAAATTCATGCCCAATGATTGGAACCTCAGCATCCTGTGTCCCGTGCCCAAAAAATGAGACAAGACGATCTGTGCCAACTATAGATGAATAAGTCTAAAGCCATGTCTGCGTTTGACATTCCTGCAAAAATAATTCGGCTATGCAGGATAACTTTAACAGACCCTTTAATACCGAACGAGGATTCAACACAGCCACCTTTGAACAAATTGAATAGGAGTCTGCCAAAGTGGGTCTGGCAGTAAACGGCGAGAAGGCCAAACTGATGGTATCAACGCGCAAGCCGTCCAGTAGACTCGGACCAACTGTGGAACTTGAGAACTACAGCTTCGAGGTTGTCAACGATTTTATATACCTTGGTACCGCCATAAAAAAAAGAATGACATCAGTTTTGAAATTCGTAGAAGGATAGGGATGGCTAACCGATGCTATGTATGGGTACTTACGCAAGCAGATGCTGCAGCTATTGGAGTGCTTGAGAGAAAAATCCTCCGAAAGATCTATGGGCCGATCTGCGTTGACGGTGAATATTGCCGTCGAATAAACCATGAGTTGTACCAGCTATTTTTGGACATCGACATTGTTAGAGATATTGAGCTGCAGCGACTACGTTGGCTAGGTCATGTTGTGAGAATGGATGAAGATGCCCCAGCCCAGAAGGCATATAAAAGCGAACCAGCTAATGATTCACGTAGAAGGGGAAGGCCACGAATCCGATGGAAAGATCAAGTCGAAGACAACATTGCCGAAAATGGTCTTTCAAATTGGAAAAACTGGGCAAAAGACCGACGCGCCTGGAAATCTTTTCTAAGCTCGGCTTACGGAATGAAACTTCTGTCACAAGCCAGCTAAGTATAGTAGTATACACTTTCACACTCCATGTGTTATAGTTGGTATAACACTTTCATTTGCTAATATAAATATTTAAGCTTCGAACCAAAATACTGCCATTCGATTGGGAGCTCTACTCGTTCGGGCAATGTCTTGACTGTGTGTCACAATTCTCTTTAACCCTTATAAAAATTGTCATATATACGTTACAGTAACGTAGACTTCACGTATATGTTACGTGAACTGTATTCTGTTTATCCATAATGGTTTGTGTCTATGCTGTTTGACAATTAGTTCAGACATGTTTTACAATAAATACTATCCACGATGGATGGACTGAATGAAAAGTGGAAAATTTTAATGTTATGAAAATTTAAATTTAATGAAAATTCCTTAAATTTTTCGGGTCTTACGTGGGTATCATTTTAAAGGTTATAAAAATAGCTTTCCATTGAGTAGTAATATGGTTTTCTCGTACAGTCAAAAAACTGGGTTTAGTCCCCGATTTCCCCCCCTTACTCAAATGGTAGACCACAATTTGCCCTTTCCAAAATGGTGGCTGATCAAGAGATATGAGCCTTAGAACCCTACAAAAACAAGGAAAATCTTTCTACATGACAGAATCTCCTTTAAATAGCACGGTTTTTTTGGTTGGCTGGATTTTTAACAATATTTTTCAACCTCCAAGAAAACAACAAATGTAGCTAATGGTTGAAACCTTCAAAATACAGCAAAGAAGGGCTAGGCCTTTAAATGAAAGCTATGTGATTGACTTCACCCTGAAAGACCCCGAACTTACTTATTTCAACGCAATGATACATTAAATTTACCCTTAATTTTGGAAGGTATAATAGTTATGACCTTGAATATATCGGGCATGTTCTGGCATTCACTTCAACAGCAGAAGTGTATCGAACATACGCCGAGGTGTTCTTTACACTTATATTTTCATGGTGAGAGTCGGGAATATTCATGTTTTTCCATAAAAAAGAAAATCTTTTTTGAAATAAACAGGTAACTGAAATGAAAATATAGAGAAAATATCAAAAAGTGGACCTATACCGACATTTCTGCAAACCGATCATGTAAACCATAATACAAATTTCAGAAATGTTTAATGGGTAATTGTACCTCAGCCTTATGGCTGATGAGGGTGTATACACTTTGACACGGTGAAAATGTGCCTCATGGCAATATTGGTTCCAGACCCCATTGTTCTTTGGACCAAATTTGTTTCAAAAAATTTTGATTTCATTCAAACTTTGCCCATCTTATTATTTCTTCCAAACCTAGTTCAAGCTCGAAGATGGAGATTATCGGTCCACTCCTTCTAATACCTCCCCCACAGGGTCTAGGCCTAAATGCGGGTTATAGTTCATTATGGAACCTAACGTTCTAACTTTTTATCTCGATATCCTCCACAGGTTAAATGATTACGACAGACCCTTAGAACCGAACCCAAACACGAAACAAATCATATAACTATTTTTATATATAAAAGGGGGTTATATGAGGACGACTCCAAAAAGGGGGTGAATATTAATAATTTCTGGTGGGAAAATTTGTTACCATATACGACTACAAAATGCCAAATTACAGCGAATTCGGTAGGAAAACGGGCCCCCAAAATTGGGGGTACTGTTATATGGGGGCTATCCGAAAAAAATTACCTATATTCATAATTTTTTGTGGAGAGATTTGGTACCTATAAAAAACTTAAAATACTAAATTACAGCCAATTCAGTGGAAAAAATAAAATAAAAACTCCCAAAATACTGAAATTTTGGATGTTCCGGTATATGGGGGCTATCAGAAAAAGTGGACCTATATTCACACATTTAGTACCCATTAGGAAACCAATCAGCGAATTCGGATGAAAACGCGCTTAAGAACCGCAAAACACCGAAAATTGGGGTGTACCGTTATATGGGAGCTATGCATAAACGTGGACCGATATATCCCATCTTCGAACTTGACCTGCCTGCAGACTAAAGACATACCTATGCAAAATTTCAACACCCTATCTCAATTCCTTCAGAAGATAGCGTGATTACAACAGACGGACATGGCCAGATAGTCTTAGAATTTTACCCTGATCAAGAATATATATACTTTATAGTGTCGGAAACGAATATTTCGATGAGTTACAAACGGAATGCCAAAATGAATATACCCCCCATACTATGGCGGAGGGTATAAAAACGAATACAGTTTATATTGTAGGGCAACACTATTTCTGCAAAGTACGATGTCGACGTTTATTTTTGTCACAGTTCGAAAATTTCAATTCACGTGAGATGCTGAACAGGAGATAACTTTTGATGTGAAGTGTATGTGTAAAAAGAAAAGAACACTCCGTGTGTTCCAGAACATACCGGTATATTTTAATTTAATTTTTAAACATAAACATTTTAGCAAAGTAATATATATTACGTAGAACAAAAATCGTCACTAGTCACTGCTCAGTCAAATGAATTCTTTTACAATATATTGAAAGAATAATTATAAAGACTTCCCTTCCATTAAAACATCATTTTTTTTTTTTTTTTTTTTTGTAAGTTTGTTGTTTTTGCATTGCATTTTTTATTCATCATTCCGGTTTATTGGACGTTTAGAAGAGTATATAAAATAAAACAAATTCTCATGTACTATATATATGTTTTTCTCTATATATATACAATATACACACAAACATTGTGTTTTTTGTTGTAATTTCATTTAAGGGTTGTTTTTAGTTTTTGTTCTTGGGTTGTTTTAATAATAATAATAATATCTTCTGTCTATATAATTTATTGATTTCAAACGAATTGTGCAGCATGATCATATTAATTACTAATTAAACAAAAACGAAACTATTTCTTTACAATTCAGGCAACTTAACAATTTTGGATTTGTTTTGTACGTATTAACGAATTACATATATACTAATAGGTATAGTAATATATAAAAATACATATGTATGCTTAGAAATCAAAATTTCAAAAGGAAATAAAGAAGAAAAACCAAAAAATTAAATGAATTTAAAATTTGTTTAAAAGTTTGAGTAAAATTTGTATTGCATGTAGCCCCAATTCTTGTTGCTTTCCATATTTTTGTTTTGTAATATTAATATTTTGTTTATTTTTATTTAATATATGTAATGCTAATTGTTTTTGTTTTACATTTAAAAAAGTGTAAATTGTTTTTATTTAATTTGTATTTTTTTATTTGTTATTAATTTTAAATTGGCAAGCCGTTTATTTGAAACGTAATTTTATTTCGTTTTTTTGTTCATTTGTTTGTTAATTTATATATTTGTTGTTGTTTGTAAATTTTCTCTTATTAGATGTGTTATTTTTTTTTCTTTTTGCTAGGTTAGGCTATTTATTTAAAAATAATATGTTTTGTTTAAGAATTATTCTTTTGTAAAAAAGTTAAATAAAAATATAGACAATTATTCTTAATTTAAAAAGAAGTAGTTTATAGTATATACGTGTAAGTACAACATTATTCTTGAGTTAAAGCAAATGGTTTTGTCTTTTTTGTTGTTGTTGTTTTGTAACAAATTCAAAATTCTATTTGAACTCATAATTAGTAAAATTCTAACTAAGTTATTTTCTTTTCTTATTTAGTTTTGTTTTAATTTTTTTTTTTAATGATAAATAGTTTCTAAACAAAATTAAAATGGACTCCTAATTATTATAATGTAATTATTAATAAATTAATAACAAATATATCTATACTGTTGCTGTAATATTCGGAAAAATAATTCAAGTGCGATATATTTTTAAATTAAATAAAAATTGCTTTTTTAAATGGACAAAGAATATTTTTTTTGCATTTCAAAATAACTACCTCGAATTCATTTGTTTCGAATTTTACAGTAACAGATCGTTAGTTTTAGTTTTTTTTTTAATTTTTAAGGGAATATGTTTCAATTGTTTTCATAATGATTTTTTGTTGTTGTGTTAATTTGAATTACATTCATAAAAACAAATTAAAAAGATTATTAAAAAATAATATTCGAAAGTAGTTTTGGCAATTCCCAATATTTATGCATTAACAGGAGGCTCTTGTTCATCATCATTCGGCTGCCAATTCATCGATGCGACAGCGCACTGCATGTTCAACCACCTCTAAACTAGGATAGTCTAATTCTTTCACCAGACACAGGGTGGCTGAGAGTAAATTGGAACTCTGAAACAAATTATAAAGGAAACAGTATTAATAAAATTATTTTTAAAATTTAAAAAAAACTTAAAGGATTTTTAAAGCGTGATGTTTCTAAAAGTTTGTCAAGGACCTACACAAGGCGTGCATTTACAAATATTTTTTTTTTTTCTCAAAGACCAAAACCAAGGTTATGGGTGGAGGGTGCCTTTCAACCCTGTCTAATTGGGCTTGCACCAAAGGTCTTGGTGTAAACCCCACTAAAACAGAACTGGTTCTCTTCACTAAGAAACGCCGTTTCCGTCTGCCATCACTGGGAGGAGTGACTTTAACCCTTTCTGAAGAATCAAAATATCTTGGCCATACTAGACCGCAAACTAATGTGGAATTGGGATGTTGAGGAACGCTCTAAGAAGGGATTGCTGGCACTCTACTCATGTAAGAATTCCATAGGTAAGAGCTGGGATTGAGACCCGAAATTATACACTGGCTATATACGACGAACGTTTTACCCATTCTTACCTTTGATTGTCTTGTTTGGTGGCAAGGGGTTAACAAAAAGATACTGCTGACAAAATTGAGTTTATTACAGCGATCGGCTTCAATCCTGATCACCGGAGCATTAAGAAATACACCACAGGCAGCCTTGAACGCAATTTTGAATCTCCAACCTTTGGATATTCTGATTAAATTCCAGGCGGCCAGGTGTGCCCTGAGACTCCGGGAAAATGATGCCTTGGAATCTCTGAACTATGGTCATGCCAGCATCCTAAACGTAACGCCAGGCTATGACCTCTTTAGGGGGAATAGTCATATCAGTGACTATGTTCGCCCTCATAGGGACTTTAATGACAACAACGTTGAATTTACTAGGAGGGAATCCTGGACTAGTGGCTCCTTACCTCTTCCAAGTCTGCCAATCTTTACAGACGGGTCTATGACGGAGGAAGGCACTGGCGCAGGTGTTTACCGTAGGGAATTAGGAATATACAACTCATATAAACTCAACAATAACTGTAGCGTTTTTCAAGCAGAGATCTACTATATATGTCGATAGTAAGGCGGCCCTGAAAGCGGTGAAGTCGCATACTATAAACTCGAAAGCAGTTCATGATTGTAAGTCCGTTTTGAATGATATACGTCAGATAGTTTGTTTATTTTGGGTTCCAGGACATCGTGACATTGAAGGGAATGAGATAGCCGGCGAGCTTGCTCGAGGGGGCTCACAGTCGTCCAATCTTCTGATTGAGAGATCTGTGAAACCTCCTATCGGCTATTTCATTGGCAGAATCCGTGCGTTCCACTGTGAGGTAGTTGGTAACAGATGGCTAACAGAACCTGCTTGCAGAATCTCAAAATCTATCTGGCCTAAATTCTCTCGCAAAAAAACGTCTTCGCTGCTGACACACAATAAGAGAGATCAAAATCGTTGTGGAGTTCATAACAGGTCAATTCAAAATTAGATCTCTCACTTTTAAGTGGGACTCCAGTGGAGAGGATTACTGTCATCTATGTCAGGACGAAGAAAAACTGGAAACAATTGAACACATCCTCTGCAAATTTCCATCGCTGATTAGCAGAAGACATAAGCAGTTTGGAAGATGTGAACTTGATAATCTAGTCTTCTTCTCCAATATGGACCCAAACCAAATCCTAGGCTTTGTCAAAAATTTGACTTGGCTTTCCGCTCTTCTTCTCTCACTACTCTTCCACTTTCTCCTTTCTTTTCTTTACAGGTATATATAAAAGGATGATCACAATGGACAATGGAATGGTCTCCGAGTGGATGTTGTTATCAACAACCGTACATCCCTAACCCAACCTAAGCCTAAGGTTAAGGTTCATACAAAGTGTAAATTTTTAAATATTTTTGAAGATGGTCCAAGGTGACAAAACTTCATCCGAGTAATCCCTGCAAATACTTACTCTATTAATTGGCCTCCGATGATAACCGGAATAATGATTTAGAACTGCTGTTGATACTGTACTGGCTGAATCGGCATAACGACCATCGGGTCGTCTGAAAAACAAATGTACCTTTTAAAAAAAAATTCTCAATAATCCCAAATTTATTTCATGCTCACCTTGGTCTAGGCCGTTCATCTTCCCAATCGCCATTTTCACGACCATTTCTATAGGCATAACGATCGACGGGTTCGGGACGTTCTGTGCCAGCACTACGCCGTTGGCCCATGTGATGTAAGGCCGCTGTACTGCCATAGGGATTCTGGCTGGCATGATGAGCCGGATGATGTTGTTCATCCCATTCGGTTAAATCGGATTGGCTATGGCGATAATGGGCTGGATATGAGGGGCGATCTGATTGATAATATTCCTGGAAAATATATACATTTTTTTAAAATTTATTTTTTAAGAAAAAATTAATTTAATTTGTATTTAACTTTAATTTTTAAGCATAAAATTAATTTGTTAACAATTGCAATTTAATTTAATAAAATTAGTAATTAATTCCTTGCACTTACCTTCATGGAATGTGTTGAAGCACTGGGTGGTATGGGTGCCCTTTCACGAAACCCTCCACCATGTGGACTTTCCTGATCGGTATCAGGTGATCTCTGTTAGTGTGTGTGTGAGTGGGTGGTTATGTTTTTTATTTGGTTATTATGAAAATCCAGAATTGAGTGTTCGTTTAATAACATTTTTTTTATTAGGGTGGTTAGGTGAGTGAGTGGAAACATACAATAAAATTTGGAAAAATAAATGTTTTTTATATTAATAAAAATGTTAATTATTTTATTATATAAAATGTGAAATAGTTTTGAAAAAGGTGATTTTTTTTAAATATTTTTTAAGGTTCAAATATAAGCGTGGATTTAATAAAATATTATTATAAAAATAATGTTTCAAATAACTGCCAAGAGCGTGGATTTTTTTTAAATATTTTTCAAGGACAACTATGAGAAGTAGGTTGTAATAAAAAAATTCAAGGATTTAAGATATATGTATATTAATATAGGTATGATAACCTCGGCTATGCAGGATAACTTTAACATGCACAATATCAGCAGTTAAAGTCGGAAAGGACCTCTCGGAGCCCTTTAATACCGAACGAGGATTCAGACAAGGTGATAGTTTGTCGTGTGACATTTTTAACATCCTGCTGGAAAAGGTCATACGAGAGGCAAAAGTGAACATGAAATGGCACTCTGTACACCAAACAACACATGTTACTCGCATACGCCGATTACATCGACATAATGGGTCGAACATTGAGAGCGGTAACAGCCACCTTTGAACAAATTGAGGAATCTGCCAAAGTGGGTCTGGCAGTAAACGGCGATAAGACCAAGCTTATGGTATCAACGCGCAAGACGTTCAGTAGACTCGGACCAACTGTGGAACTTGAGAACTACAGCTTCGAGGTATTCAAATATGTTATATATCTTGGTACCGCCATAAATAAAACGAATAATATCAGTTTCGAAATTCGGAAAAGGATAGTGATGGCCAAGCGATGCTACTATGGTCTGAGCAAACAACTCAAAGGCAAGGCCTCCTCCCGCCAGACCAAACTCACACTCTACAAGACGCTGATACTACCCGTGCTGTTATACGGATCTGTTACGCAAACAGATGAGGCAGCTCTTGGAGTGTTTGAGAGAAAAATTCTCCCAAAAATTCGCCGATCTGCGTCGACGGTGAATATCGCCGTCGAATGAACCATCAGTTGTACCAGCTATTCTCGGACATCGACATTATTAGACGTTGGCTAGGTCATGTTGTGGGAATGGATGAAGATACCCCGGCCCAGAAGGCATATAAAAGCGAACCAGCAACATCGCCAAAAATGGTCTTTCAAATTGGAAAAACTGCGCAAAAGACCGACGCGCTGGAAATCTTTTCTAAGCTCGGCTTATGGAACGAAAGTTCTGTCACAAGCCAGCTAAGTAAGTAAGTGTGATAACCTCTACAAAATTGGAATTTTTAAATTATTTTTCCAAGACCATGTTTTATATTTTTGACATAAATACATATCCTAAATAAACATCAAATGGAAAAACCCCCTATAAAACTTCAAAACTATAATCATAAGCTATTTATTGTAATGCCCTTTAGCCGCCGATTCTTATCGCTGACAGCAAAATGAGCAATGGGAAAATGTCAACGATTTCTGCTGCAACCGCAGAACTTAAAACAAGCAAAACAAAAATACTAAACAAAACAGCAACAACAACAAATAAATGGAACTCCATTTATATATCGGTGGTCATGAACTGATTCATATTGGCTATGACCGGCCAACCGATGTGTGGGGTGGTTATGATTATTTTTATAATTTGTGTCCGCAATATTTAATATTGCAAATGGACAAATCCGGATATATGATTTACAACTCCCAATTATTGCGTGACTTGTGCCATTATGGTGGTGACAAAAATGTAGAACACCTACGAACGTAAATTATTAAATTAAATATTAGAAAACACTCACACACAAACAAAACAAATGACTTGTTTGAAATTCCGTCACATTCAATTGCCAGTAAATCTTAAATAGATATGGCAAGAACACATTAAAAAATGAAATCAATTTCTGTGAACAAAAAAAAAAAGAATAACAAACTTGCCCCGATGATCAATTAACCAGGCGGCGAAGATAGTTAAACTTGTTTGAACTCATTTAATAATATTTAAAAATAGATTGACAGTGGGACAAATATCGAAAAAAAATCTAAAATACTGAAGGCATTTTGAATAAAAAATGTTTAGACACTAAAAAAATATTTAATAAAATCACGCCTGTCGTAGATATTTGAAAAATTGCACTGTGCGACACGAAAATTATTCAGGGGTTCTAATGTACCAATTCTGTTTGGTTGGAGTCCCTGGAACACGAAAATACCTTTGGTTTTTCTGGGTCACTTCGAAAATTAATTTTATAACGGTAAATGTAGAGAAAAACGTGGTTTCATAGATTTTCAATTACTGGGTTTTTGGAAATACGTACTAGAACGGTACGAAAAGTACTAAAAGGTACTAAATGTGATACCATTTGTATTTTGCAAACAGGTAGAGCTAGAACTCTTAAATTTTAAATGAGGGACACTGATGGAGTGTAGAATATATATAGCAAAGGGTTTTTTGGACATTCAAACATGCGAAAAGTACTAAAATGTACTAAATTTGCTACAATTTCGTAGCATGTGAATGGATAGAGCTAAAAACTTGAAATTTGGAATGCCAATGAGGATTGAGATGTAGGGTCTAGTTAAAGAGATGGTTTTGAAAGCGTGTACTCATGTGTACGAAATGTACTATAAGGTACCATATTTGGTACAAATTTAATTTGGAGATACAAATCGAGCTGATGATCAATTAAGCTGGAATTTAAAATTAACATTGCCATCGGAGTGTAGGATTGGGATATGAACGTAGTTTTGTAAATTTTGTTACTTATGTGTACGAAAAGTACTAAATCGTACTATAATCAGTACAGTTTGTATTTGGGTGAACCGATATAGCGGGAACAATGAAATTTGGAGTCAGGATCACAGTAGGGGTGTGGGATTGTGGTCAGGATTCAGTTTAAGAAATTAATACTTATGGGTACTAAATGGTACTAAATTTGGTACAATTTGAATTTTAGTTCAATCAATAGAGCTAGGATCATGAAATTTGGAATCAGAATCACTGTTGAGGTGTAAGATTGAAATATGTAGGATGTTTTAGAAATTTGTACTAAGTGTACTAAATTTGGTACAATTTGAATTGAACCAATAGAGTTAGAATCATGAAATTTGGAGCAAGGATCACTGTTGAGGTTAGGATTTGAGAAATGTAAAAATTTTAGAAATTTTTACTAATGTGTACTAAATTTGGTACAATTTGAATTGTGAGTGAACCGATAGAGTTGGAATTATGAAACTTTGATTTGGGATAACTGTGAGGGTGTAGATTTGGGGTATGTTGGTAGTTTTAGAAATTTGTACTAATGTGTACTAAATTTGGTACAATTTGAATTTTGGGTGAATAGATAGAGTTGGAATCATGAAACATGGATTAAGGATCACTGTCGGCGTGTAGGTTTGGGTTAAATATGAAGTTTTGGAAATTCGCACTACTGTGTACTGTATTTAGTACAATTTGAATTGTGGGTGAACCAATCGAGTTGAAATCCTGAAATTTGAATTTGGAATCATTGTGTAGGATCGGAGTATGCAGGAAGTTTTGTTGGATGCTTGAGGGAGGTACTTATGGGAACAATCAGCCCAACCGTGCGGAATTTCTTCAATCTCCCTTTTTCCCAATCGTAAAAAAATTCCGCGCGGAATTAAAGGGAGAACAGAGAAAAAGTAGGTATCATAACAAAGTTCGATTTGTGTTTTTCCTCTCAAAATATCTCACAAACAAAATCGAAGGGAGATAAAAATGTAAGTATGGTTTTTCAAATATATATCGGAATAGAAATAAATAAATCAATTATTTGTGGGTCGACGACAAATAAAACCCAATTGCAGCACTTAGTGTCAGTTTTGGAGTTACGTCCTGACATTTCACGTGGAATCTAGAAAGGGACCAAAGAGTCTCTTACTCTGTTTTGGAAAAAAACAAATTAGCTCAATTAGATAGGACCAACAAATAAGGGCATCGCCGAAGGGAAAAACGTTTAGTACTAAATTTATCACATTAATTTGAATAAAATAATCCATTCATTGTTCAAAATTACTTAAAATAGTTTTGGGCCGACCAAAAAAAAAATATGTAAGGCAAAACGCTGCACAGAATTTAAAATACAAAAAAAGGAACAGGAACCTTTTGGCACTTTTATCCACTTAGAACAAAGGTGAGCTTCGAAAACTGTCACCACCTCGGAGAGGATAGAACTAAATGTTGATTGTGTCATACAAACATCAGAATCCCTTCCAACGCCAACGGCAACGGCACTCAACTTGGTAATCGTTGGAATTCCAGACTTGTTTTTCCGCATATAGTGGGTCCTTAAATTAATATTCTCAAAAAAATCCACGCCTTTTGTACAACCTTGAAATAATATTTTTATAAAAATCATTTTAAAATATCGAAGATTGTGGTTACATTGGGACATTTAAAAATTATTTTTACAAAATTTAAATATTTTAACTCATTTACTGAAATAAAAATAAATTTATATATATTTGTTGTGATTTAAAGCTTACATCATATTGGTGATACGATAAACGATTCTCTTTTGGTGTTGAATTATATTTAGGCGATGGTGAGTGTAATACTTGTTCCTGTGTTCCCCAAAAAAGTTTGGAGATTCGGTCAAAGGCGTGAAGAGATATAAATATGCAAAAAATAATATACAAAAATTATTTGCACTGTGGGAAACGAGGTTGATTTATTACTGGCGAAATAAAAAGCAACTCAAAATCGATTTGCAGCTAAGAACGACAACAACAGAAAAATACGTAATCACAAAAAATCACGTAATCCTATATTTGGAAATGACAACATTTCCATAATAACCAAAAACAGAAAAAACGATAATCAAATAATGATCCCAATAATTTCTCTCAAAAAAAAAAAATAAAATAAATAAATGTATTCGAAAAAATAAATGTATTCGAAAAGAAATAAATAAAACAACAAAATAAATTATTATAATTTATGCTATTCTTAGAAAATGAAACATGAATCTCCCAGAAACGTAACACAAAGTAATAAAAGAAACGCAACAACAATAACAGCTTAATTCCAACACAACAACAAAAAATCTTCAAAAAATGTGTTTCAATACAAAGCAAGAAAATTTGTCGTACAAGGACACCAAAAGAATCGTACCTGAGAAGGTGTTGAGGCTTTCGACGATGAACCACCATTGGCATTGTTTGTTTCGCTTACACTTTCTTCGGTTGTGGCAGGACTCGTTTGCTGAGGAGCGGGAGGGTTTTTTTCATTTTGAAAATAACATTGTTGTAGTTGGTTGATGTTGTCGTCACATACATTTTAGTGTGATTAATTATTCAATGACATCCAAAAAGTTTTGTTTGTTGTTGTTATTATTATTGGCAGCAACAATGAGACAAAATAGAGGTGAAAGGTTAAGCGAAAAATTATTATATTAGAGAGAGACAAAGAGAACAAAAAACCAACAAAGAACGATATTTCAATAAAAAATAAAAAGGTTTCTTATAAAAGTTCCAAATGAAACTTTAAAAAATATGAAAAATACGTTCTTATAGGGAATATGAAATATATTTTTACAACGAAAACATAAAGGTCCATATGAACGTTTCATATGAATATTTAATTTCAAAGTTTCATATGAAACCTTTATTCAAATTTTTTACCCTAATAAAGTCCATATTTTCTAAAATTTCTAAACAATTATATTTTCCTTCCTTTTATTTATTTAATTATACCCTTCACCACACTGTGGTACAGGGTGTTATGGCTTTGTGCATATGTTTGTAACAGGCAAAAGGAAACGAGATAGACACATGGTTCCTTTTGAGAATATGCATAGAATCACTTTTTAAGTCGATTTATGCATGTCCGTCCGTCCGTCTGTCTGTCCATGTTAAATTGTAAACAAAGTATAGGTCGCCCTTATGATCCGCATTGGATGAAATTTGGCATAGGTAACTTATTTGGGACACGGACGAACCCGATTGAAATTGGGAAAATCGATTCAGATTTAGATATAGCTCTCATATATATATTTTCGTCCGATTTAAGGTATATGGTGTACCAAAGTCCCAATATATCTTTCGATTTGCACGAAATTTGGCATGGCGTACTGAATTAGGTCTAAAATGATGTGTGTTAAATTTCCTGAAAATCGGTCCAGATTTAGATATAGCTCCCATATATATTTTCGTCCGATTTCATGTAAATGGTGCACCAAAGTCCCTATATATCTTTCGATTTGCACGAAATTTGGCACAGCGTAATGAATTAGGTGTACAATAATGTGTGTCAAGTTTCCTGAAAATCGGTTCAGATTTGGATATAGCTCGCACATATATATTCATCCGATTTATGGTGTACCAAAGTCCCTATATATCTTCCGATTTGCACGAAATTTTGCACAGTGTACTGATTTAGGTCTAGAATGATGTGTGTCAAGGTTCCTGGAAATCGGTCGAGATTTAGATATAGCTCCCATATATATTTTCGTCCGATTTAATGTAAATGGTTTACCAAAGTCCCTATATATCATTTGATTTACACGAAATTCGGCATAGCGTAATGAATTACGTCTAGAATGATGTGTTTAAAATTTCCTGAAAATCGCTCCAGATTTAGATATAGCTCTCATATATATTTTCGTACGATTTAATGTAAATGGTGTACAAAATTCCCTATATATATTTCGATTTGCACGAAATTTATCACAGCGTACTGAATAAGATCTAAAATGATGTGTGTTAAGTTTCCTGAAAATCGGTCCTTATTTAGATATAGCTCCTATATATATTTTCTTCCAATTTAATGTAAATTGTGCACTAAAGACCCAACGTTTTAGTAGTTAGTATAAGTTAATTTCTGGCAAGTCTCATTTAAATCGGTTCATATTTTGATATAGCTTCTACATATATATTTTCGTCCGATTTTACACAAAATTGACACAAATTTTGCACAACGTACTAGAGTTAGTATAACCTAGAAGTTCGATACAAAATGCTTCACCAAGATGGGTTCAATCGACATAAAATTTTGCACTACGTACTGAAGTTACTATAACATAACGTGTGGCATTTTTAGTTGAAATCGGTATATATATATATAGGTCCTTCAAAAATTGGACATCTGTTAGGATTCATCTGTTGGATATATCCAAAGCGGTGAAGGGTATTATATAGTCGGCCCCGTCCGACTTTACTAATTTCCTTACTGATTTATTTATTATTATTATTATTTTTTTTTGAGCTATGCTTAAAATCTTCGTTAAGCTTTTCAATTATTAGTAGTTTCAAATGATTGTTAGCACACAAAAACCACATGACCTTAGTACAAATAAAAAACTTTCAAGGTACACACAAGGAAACCAACAACAACAACAAAAAAACTTAAAACAAAAAAGGGAAAAAATAAAATGAACGATTCCGATTTGTTTCAACTTACTTTTCCACCTACCTCTTTTTGTGGACTTGAACTTCTTCGATATTGTGGCTGAGGTGGTTGTGATTGTGTTTGCCGCTGCTGTTGCTGTTGCGCCTGTTGTTCTTGTTGTTGTCTGTATTGTTGTTGTTGCTGCTGTTGTTGTTGTTCGTAATATTGTTGCTGTTGCTGCTGTTGTTGTTTCTGTTGTTCCTGTAACTGCTGCTGTTCATAGGCATCCTCATATGGATCATCTTCGACAGCGGCACTACCTCCGCCTCCGCCGCCACCACCACTACCGGCACGTAATGCCTCGTCGACTTCCTCTTGTGTGACTTCGACGTTATCCAATTTTTTGAGATTTGGTAAAGCACGCAATACAATTGCACGATAACTGAAAGCAAATCGGAAAAGAAACAAAAACATGAAATCTGGATTTTAAAACAATGTTAAATACAAAATTTATATTTTCGGAAAGTGCGGGAAATGAGATCAAAATGTATTTTTTGGTAAAAAAAGCCTATAACCCAAAAAAATCAAAAATTTAGAAAACCGGTTCTTACTTCCTTGGAATATTTATCTATCTTCATATATTATAGGGTCGCCAGACGTGTGGTCAGCCTTTTTTGAAATTGGAAAAAGATGTACCAAGAGTACAAATGGGTTTTGGAAAGTACCTGAAAAGTACTAAAATGTACTAAACTTGTTAAAAGTAAAAATTTGAAATTTGGAATGCGAATCAAGTTTGAGACGTAGGATAGATATAAGACGATGGTCTTGGAATTGTGTTCTCTGCTATACTAAAAGTACTAAACCGTACTAAATTTGGTACAAATTGAATTTGGAGAAATGGGATAGGATTGGAATATGTAGGTAGTTTTAGATTTTATGTACTTATGTGTACGAAAAGTACTGTATTTAGTACAATTTGGATCTGAATGAAACGATAAAGCTGAAACACTAAAATTTGAAAATAAGGTAAGACCTGAAGAATGTGGATACTTTTGGAAATTCGTACTAATGTGTACTAAATGGTACTACTGTTGGTACATTCTGAGTTTGGGTGAACCGATAGAGCTGGCATCCTAAAATTTGCAGTTAGGATCGCTTTTGGGGTATATACGATGTTTTGGAAATTCCTACTAATGTGTACTAAATTTGGTAGATGGTACTAACTTTGTTACAATTTGTATTCGGTTCGGGATTTGGGTGAACTGATAGGGCTGGAGTCCTGAAACTGGGAAATAAGATTTCTCTTGTTTTATGATATATAGATAGTTATAGAAATTTTGTACTTATGTGTACGAAATGGTACTAAATTTAAGAAAATTTGGATTTAGGAGATCGGATCGAGCTGCAATCCTGAAAATTAGAATTAGGGCTACTGTTGAGGTGTAGGGTTGGGATATGTAGGAAGTTGTGGAAATTCGTACTTATGTGTACTAAATTTAGTACACTTTGGATTTGGATGAAGCGATAGGACTAGAATCCCGAACTTGAAATAACTATTGGTTGTATGATTGTTGTTATAGAAATTTGTACTAAATTTGATAATTTGGATTTAGGTGATCGATTGGATCGAACTGGAATCCTGAAAATTGGAATTAAAATTACTGTGGGAATGTAGGATTGGGATATGTAGGAAGTTTAGGAAATTCATACATATGCCTACTAAATGGTACTAAATTTGAATTTGCGTGAACTGTAATCCTGTAATTTGGAAATGTGATTTCTATTGGACTATTGAGCTAGGTTGATATGGAAATATTTATATTAATGCGTACTAAATTTGGATTTGGGTAAACCTCAGGCATATGCTAGTATTTAATAAAAATAAAAAAATATTTTTGGAAACCGAGAATGGGGAGTCCCCTTACTCTGTTGTATATATATTAAGGTCTGACCCGTCTTGACCACACAGTATTCACAATTTGCTTTTTATAATACATATGTTTATTATCAGAGAGCGGTCCTATAGACCACCTCTTCGGATTTAAATTATATTTGCTCGACCTAGGTCGACATAAATTCCCCATCCTCGAACTTGGTTTAAGTCTGGAGGAAATATTACGTTATGCGGAGTTTAGCTGAAATCGGTACTCCCTTCAAGAATTATCATGTACACCAGCCAGACAAAAAGAAGGACGCGCAGGTCCAAATTGTCTGAAACGGCTTTGGTTCAAAGATTTGGGGTCTAAAAAATATTTCGATGAGGAACATTTTTGTATAAGTATAACAGTATAACAAAAATATCCCTTTTCAATTTTTCTTTCATCTTCACCCTGGGTCCCAAATAAAAAATAAAATAAATCAATACTTACGCTGCTCCCACTCGCTCACAGCACGGATTCTCCTCCAGCCACAAATATTTGAGATTTGGTAGATTTTGCAAATAGGCAATTTCGTTGATATCCTGAATGCAATTTTTCCGTAAATATAATTCCTGTAATTTCAGGCAGTCTTCGAATGGCTGCAGGGTGCTGATTTTGTTGACACTGCAGAGAGAACAAGAAGAGAGCAAAAATTATTAATCAAGTTAAATGTGTTGGAAGTGTAAAACAAAGAAAAATTACTCAACACAAATTGTTGTAATAATAACAATAAAACAAGAATGGTGGGAAAATAATAAACGAACGGCAATAACAACAACAACAAAAATTAAAAAATAAATAAACTTATAAATATAAATTCCAATCAAGCTGAACAAAGACGGAATAAAAGAAGGAAAATAAATGAAGCCATAGCCAGGCCAGGCAGTCAACCAGACAACAAGTGAATGGAACTGCATTTCCCTCCCTGAAACCAAGCAACCGACAACTGTCTGGCCGATCGGTCGGTCTGCCAGGGAATTGAGGTCAACAATCTGTTGCTTTAGCCTAAAAAAAGAAAACTCAAATGCCTTTAAACCCATGATATGATCAGATCAGCAACATCGTCTGTCGGCCTGTCTGTCTGATAAGAAAGAAAACGAAAAAAAAATCGCATTGTCGGAAAACCTATAAATCTTCATAATGACAATGGCTTCATGTACATATGTGAGTAAGTGTGTGTGTGTGCCAATGAGTCTCCTTGTCTGTCTGCCATGAAAATATGCGACAAATACTTTTTAATGAAAATGACTATCTAACATACAAGAGAGTGAGAGAGATCATGACCCGCAATTTCATTGACTTTTGTTTGGAAATTTGGCCTTTGTAAATATTTTGCTTGTAAAGTTAGGTGGCACGCAAAGGCCTTACATGTTCAATATTACACTCAAACAACATAATTTAAACTTTTTTGGAAAATATGAAAAAAAATCTATAACAGCTTGTAAAAATATATAAAACATTGCAATTGCAAAAAAAATATTACAAAATTACAGCATCTTCATAGGGAGAGGAATGCCCAAAGAATTAAAAAAAAAAATAGAAAAATAATCGGATTTCTTAGAAACTGTTCTCCCTTTAGTGTTGAATTAAAACACTTATGAGTTTTATGAAAAAAAAATTGTAAGAAATCCACTTTTTTAATCCTCTGAACAATCCTCCCTATGAAGATACTGCTTTATTTGAATATTGTTTCCATTTTTTTAAAGAAGATACAAATGTATATATACTACGAAGTTTATATAAAAAATATTTATGTATGTAAAAAAACTCCGAAATAATTTCCATCATTTTTAATAATTTGTTTATATGACTTTTTTTAGTTTTTACTTTCATAGATAATATCATTAAAAAAAGGCATAACAAAAAAACAATGGTCCATGAATTCGCCGCCGCCTCTTTGGTTCACCTGACTTTCCATTTAATGTTTATGTTTATATTGTGGCCTGCCTCATTAGGTGGGGAGGTTTATTATCTATTTTTTTTTATTTTTTTATCATAGATAATGATCTTGGTATGGAACACCAAAGAAACAAAAAATGAAGCGTTAAAAATGCCTCAACGTCATTAAAGAAAAGTGAAAAGATAAAATAATCAGCGTCTATTCAAAATTAGCAGCTTCTGCTGCTGCACTTTCTTTCATTCTTGCCCATTTTAGCTTCCGACTATTTTTACTGCTGTTCATTTCTTTAAATAACAAACAGCTCCGGGCAAAAATATTTCTAAAGCGTATTTTTCCTGCATTCTTGTGTGTGTGTGTGACCACCTTATTTGTTTACTTCCCTGTTTTGTTAGGAACACAATTTAGACAGTTTGGGATTTTTTTTTCAAAAAAAGAACAATTTTTTGGGTAAGAGAAGGCTCTAGAGAATTTGAAAAAATATATAAAGCAGTGGATTTAAAAAAATATATATTTCCTTAGAAAATATTTTTTTTTAATTATGTTTTTGTTATCTATTTTAAACCTAAAATAATCTACTCATTTTACATGTTTTGTAACTTTTTACTCGAAAACCGTTCCTCAACCCACAAAACTGGTAAAACATTGACTCAAATTTAAGAGAGCAAAAAACAAAATGGCGTTCTCTTTGAAAACTTTTTACTCGAGAAATTTGGTCGAGTAAAAATGGTAAACAGGAATGTCTACTTCTGATTGGCTGTTATGTTGATTTTGAAGTATTGCCATCTAATTTTGGCATATTTACCCGAACTTTTCAAATTATTTTGTACTCTGAGAGCAATTTTGAAATGTTTCCCTTTTGATAGATTTACTATTAAAAAAGTACTGGAACAGACCAACTATTTCATATATGTGATTTTTTAAACATTTTTTCATAAATGGTAGACATTTTTTTGTTTTTGTTTGTTTCCTAATGAACATGGCGTTCCAAAAAATATTTTGCATAAAATTGGAATAAACCATATGATGCCCTTCACCAATTTGGGTATATTCTGCACATCAATAAGTGAACCGACTAATACCATAGACAGACGACAGCCTTAATTTGCATTAAAAATTTCTTAATTTGAATTAATATTTACCCCTGACAGACGAGAGTTTCTGCATTTACGAAACAGTTTTTTTGCTTCAAAACAATTGTTTGTCTGTGTGTATGATGAAATTTGTTTACATTTGTTTCGATATTTTCGGGATTACATCTTTAGGAAACAGATACATGACATAAAGGAGGAAAATGCAAAATGTTGTCTCAATCGGACCAATATTGGGAGTTTGGTACACCATTTACTTAAAATCGGACGAAACTATATATGGGAGCTATATCTAAAAATGAACCTATTTTCTCCAATTTCAATAGGGTTCGTCCTTAGACCAAATAAGTGACATGTCCCGAATTTCATCCAAATCGGATCATAAATGCGACCTGTACTTTGTTCGTAAAAATGCATGGACGGACGAATGGACATGAATAAATCGACTCAGAAAGTGATTCTATGCATATTCTCAAAAGGTACCATTCGTTTATCTCGTTTCCTTTTGTCTGTTACAGACATATGCACAAAGACATAATACCCTGTACCACAATGCGGTGATGGGTATAAAAATGCACACTTATTATTAATTTATGATCCGAATTGAATGAAATTTGACATAGCTCATTTATTTGGTCCAATAACGAACCCTATTGAAATTGGGAAAAAATCGGCCCAGGTTTAGCTATAGCTCCCATATATATTTTCGTCCGAATTTCCCTATATATCTTTCGATTTGCACGAAATTTGGCATAACGTACTGAATTGAGCCTAGAGTGATGTCTGCCAAGTTTCGTGCATATCGGTCCAGATTTAGATATATCTCCCATATATAGTTTCGCCCGAATTAATGTAAATGGTGCACCAAAGTCCCTATATATCTTTCGATTTGCACGAAATTTGGCATAACGTACTGAATTGGGCCTAGAGTGATGTCTGCCAAGTTTCGTGCAAATCGGTCCAGATTTAGATATATCTTCCATATATAGTTTCATCCGATTTTATGTAAATGGTGTACCAAAGTCCCTATATATCTTTCGATTTGCCCGAAATTCGGCATGATGTACTGAATTGAGCCTAGAGTGATGTCTGCCAAGTTTCGTGCAAATCGATCCAGATTTAGATATATCTCCCATATATAGTTTCATCCGATTTTATGTAAATGGTGTACCAAAGTCCCTATATATCTTTCGATTTGCATGAAATTCGGCAGGTTGTACTGAATTGAGCCTAGAGTGTTGTCTACCAAGTTTCGTGAAAATCGGTTCAGATTTAGATATAGCTCCCATATATATTTTCGTCCGATTTTATGTAAATGGTGTACCAAAGTCCCTATATATCTTTCGATTTGCACGAAAATTGGCATAACGTATTGAATTGAGCCTAGAATGATGTCTGCCAAGTTTCGTGAAAATCGATTGAGATTTAGATATAGCTCCTTTATATATTATCGATTGATTTTAAGTAATTAACGCACCAAGGAACCAATATATGGCTGATAGGAACAAATCGTACTGAAATTAGTATAACCTAACCTGTAACAAATTTCGTTGGAATCGGTTCAAATTTTGATATAGCTTCCGTATATATTTTCGTCCGACTTTAAATAAATGGTGCATCAAATTCCTCATGTTTGTCAGATTGACATGAAATTTTGCACAACGTACAAAATTTAGCATAGTATAACGTAGTTGCGTTTTCTAGAAGTGCAGACATAGCCCAACCGATGTCCTATTGATATTTGTTTGAAATCGATCTACATACTTTTGTCTCATTGTAGCAAACAAATGGCATGTTTATGGATTGATTTAAGTCAATTCACATTAAGATAAGTATCACATATTTTAGTTCATCCAATTTCATGTCCTGTTTAATAGGGTGAAGGGTATCATATTACTGGTTTCAATATATATTTTTCAATAATATTTAAAAAAGCGTCCATGTCAAAACATATATATCAACAACTCTCTGCAAAGATATTTTCCATCCTCCAAGGACCCGGAATACCCATTAAAATTCTCTTTATTTGAAAAATATTTGGACCCATATCGACAAATGTTTACAACTATATTCTTCGCCTTCCAAGAACTTAGATTACCAAAGAAAAGGGACTTCCGTTGGAAAATATGACTAAAACATTAAAAATACCGAAAAAGGGTCTGTACATTTTTACGGGGGCTATGTCAAAATAAGGACCAATATTGTATTATTTTTTTAATAGATATATATAGCTCTCCAAGAACCCGAAATGTCAATAACATTTGGAAAATGGAGCTGAAACATTTAAAATACCGACAAACTCAAATGAAAAAATGAAAAATAATACATTAAAACAAACACAGTTTTTTAAATTAGCTTCGAATTCAAAATTAGAAGAATTCGCTGCAAATTAAATTTATATTTTTTTAATTTTAAAAATATTTTGTATTGATGTTAATGAACCTTTAGCACATGTTGCAATGATCTAATTTTCTTTTAGAGTCCATTAAAAAATCTCACTCTCTATCTCTCTTACAAACTTCATTATTTATCATCTAAATTAAATTTAAATATACAAACAGCCAGCAGCATGACCACAATGTGATTAAAAATACCTTACACACAATGACGACAACAACAACAACGACAGCTACAGA